ATAGAATTTATAAATTGTACGATGAATTATTGGGAAATATCGATAATGATCCCTTTAAACATTTCTTATGAACATGTCTGTTCATATCTACATGATTTATCGATAAATACTCTCTATATACGTTAATTTCTCTAATAAGAAATTATTTATAAAATTATACAACAAAATCTTGAATAAAATTTGTGATACTGCAATTGTATGAATATGTATTTGAGAAAATATATGTAGAAATATTAATCTTCATATTTTTTAATATTAATAATTATTTGCGCAATTAATTTCAATAATATTTCAGTAAAATAGTAAATAAGGCGGATTGTTGTAGCGGAATATTTGCAAAATTAAATTTGGGAAAAAATTTCCCAATAATTAAGAAAAATATTTTAGCTATATTATGTTTAAAATATTTAGAAATATAATTGTACCTGAGGGAATCAAATTAATACCTCCCACACAGCATAAATATCTGAAATATGTCTCAGACGTTTCTACTGTGTGAGATATATAAGCTTGTAAAAATGCACAATTATTTAATATTTATTAAATTGCCTTTCACATATTAATAAGTGTATAAATATCGTTATATTATTTCTATTATAATTTTATCATATAATAATAAGTTAACAGTTCTCTCATCACTAGTCTCCTAATTCAGAATTATTGGAGCAATGTCGAACTAACGAGTTTCAATCGTAAGAATTATATTTGTTTACCTGTAAAAAATTAAAATATAATAATTTACAGATGCTACAAATTGAACGTTACAAATTGAACGCTATAAATTATATAAGAGAGCACACGCATGAGATAATATACGGATTATCGAATGTTGACGTATGGAAAGTTTGGCGGATGTCTTCTGTGGCCGGACAAATAAATTCCTTATTTGGTATTTTTTGTGCAAGATTTTGTACACGTTATAGTTACATCGCTTTTAATTACATCGTTGAATTACGCCGACCTTTTGCAAGAACAAGTAAAAAGTATTAGGAGAAAAATAGAAAAATCTCACTGCAAGAGCAAATCTTACGAGAGACTGATTTGAAAATTCATTTATTTTCTCATTTCAGGATAAAGATACACAAGGATTATTATTCTTAGGCAAATGCAACATAAGTTATCGCCTCGGTTTATCCAGAGGGATGAAAATTTCGCTCGAGGGAAGTGTGTTTTAATAGAAACAAAATAGAATTAACTGAGGTGAAAAGAAGAGGTTCGAAAGTGCGTAACTCCAGATTCCGTAACTTGTGATGCAACGACGTGCTTCGACCGAGGAGGAATCATTATCGTCGCTTAACCTTCGATTAGCTGCAATGATCCATCCGAAATAGCAGGGGGTATCGCGCGCAGACGGCGAAATCTTGCAGCGACGGAGGGGTCAGCGGGTCGCCGATAATGTCTTTGTTCGATATGGATTTTGGTATAAAAGACTGCACCGGCCCGACAGACAGCATGCGGCGAACAGCATTGTATCACAATGAGGTGCGCAGTCGTTCTACTGGCTCTAGCAGCTTTCGGGGCAGCCATACCCCAACAGCCGAAACAACGAGCTGGTAAGTGTGCAATTCTTAATAGGATTCTGTCCTCCCGGAAAATCGAGTCAAGTTCTATCTGTCTGTCTATTTTTCCCTACTATTCTCAATTATCCTCTCTATTGAGAATCTCAATTTGAGACTGCCCATTTCTCTCAGGGAAACGTTTGAAATATTACCGCAGACTCTGTCGATGCTCTTCTCTCGATTCGACTTGCTCACGCTGTTAGAAGCTACGATCATTCGCTCGGCGGACGATCGCCCCGAGCGAATCCGGGACGAAGAAAATCGAGGAGAAAAATCGCCCACGGGCGACGATTGATTAATCTAATTTTCTCCCTTTCCCTCTTCCAGCAGATCAAGAGCTCCTGAAGAAACAGCAGGATTGCATTCTGCTGTTGCAACAGATCACCCACCCGATTCCGAACGAACAACTGCAAAACCTCGGCACCACCTATGACATCGAGAACAATTACCACCAATTCGAAAACCCGATCCTTGTGAAATACTATGTCGGCGCCGTAAAGGCTGGTTTGGTTCAGCCCAAGGGCACCATATACTCTAACTCCGTCAGCCAGCTCCGCAAGGAAGTTTCCCTCCTGCACAGAGTCCTTTTGGGTGCCAACACCTACCAGACATTCTTGAGCGTCGCCGCATGGTCTCGCATCCATGTCAATGAGGGACAATTCATCAAGGCCTTCTCCGGAGCTGTTCTTCAGCGCCCGGATACGCAAGGCATCATCCTACCGCCCCAGTACGAAGTCATTCCTCAGTACTACTTCGACTCCAGAATCGTCCAGGAAGTTCAGGACATCGCCGCACAACAACACCAGAACACCGGACAATCCACTTATGTACAAAACGGCCAAACCCATATTGTCATCCCGGTCAACTACAGCTCGCATTTACCCCATAGTGAACATCAGCTCTCCTACTTCACGCAGGACGTCGGCCTTAGCAACTATTACGCCTTTGTGAGCCTCGGTGGATACTTATTGGATCAGGTAACCGAGTCTGTCGGATTTATTACGACTCAGATAACACTGCTTGTCCCGAATGTGTCTAGGACATCTTGAGGAAATGATCTCAGGATGTTTTTGCGCTATCCGCGAGATTTGGTGAAATTTACGCTCGCTTCATACAACGACACCCTTTCAAATACAATTCCAGCACGGCCCCCAACAGCAGACCCCGGTGCAGTACCAGCAGCAAGGCATTTCCCAGAGCCAGGAAGGTCAGAACGGCCGGGGATCCCGTTACTACTACATCCACCAGCAGCTTTTGGCCCACTACGAGCTGAACCGTCTCGGAGCTGGACTCGGTCCCATCTACAACACCGATTACGTGCACATTAAGGCGCCGTACCAGCCGCACCTCCGATATGAGAACGGCCTCGAATTCCCTGGACGCCCTGAATACCTCGAGTTATCCTCCTTGAAGAACCACCTCGCCAAGACTGTGAAGATCCTCGAAGAAAGACTGATCGCCGCTATCGACTCCGGATACGTCCTCACTCCGCAAGGCGCTTTCCTCTCTCTCTACCAGCCGCAAGGTTTGAACATCCTTGGAAATATCATCGAGGGAACCGGCCGTAGCATCAACCCAAGGTGAATCCTTTCGTTCTACGATATTTTCCACGACTGTGTTAATAGCGCGACCGACTGATCTCGATTTGTCGACGTGACCGAATCTACGAAAGACGTGTCTATTTCTATCGCAGGTACTACGGCAGCTTACAAGCCGTCGCTCGTCAACTCCTCGGCAACGCCCCCGAAGCGCTCAACATCTACGACTACACGCCCTCCGTTCTCGAGTTGGGACCGGTCGCCGTACGTGACCCAGCCTTCTACCAGCTCTACAAGAAGGTCATTCATTTGTTCCACCATTACCAGAGCTCCCTGCCCGCGTACCAGTACAACGACGTCCTGCTGCACGGCGTCAGCATCCAGAACGTCGAAATCTCTCCGCTTGTGACCTTCTTCAACGACTACTACGTCGACCTCGACCAAGCTACGGTCCACAACGCGCAACACCAGCAGCAGTCCACGAAGCCGCACATCCAGGCACAGCTCAAGAGGTTGGACCACAAACCGTACACATATACCATCACCGTCCAGAGCGAGAACACCGTACCTGGCGCTGTTGTCCGCGTCTTCTTGGGACCGAAATACGACTACCAGGGCAAGCCCATCAGCATTTCCCAGCACAGGCATCACTTCGTTGAGCTCGACCAATTCGTAACTGACCGTGAGTTCCCTGATCCGACCTATTGAGAACATATCGACTCGTTCTTCTTCGACAGATTGAAACCTATTCTTTTCGCTTGACAGTTGACCAAGGACAGAACACAATCACCAGGAAGTCCCACCAGGCACCAGGCCAGAGCTTCGACTACCCGTCTATTCAGGAGATCCAGCAGTGTGTCAGCGGCGCTATTCGCTCCCAAGAGCCGTTCTACATCACCGAGGTAACTGTCGCACTTGTTTCTTCACAGAATTCGCAGCTATGTCGAAGAGCGACGAAACAACTGAAACGTCAAACGTCTGTTCTCGTAGCCCAACCAGATCTACGGCTTCCCAGCTAGGTTGGCTATTCCCAAAGGTCATCCTGAAGGATACCCGCTTCAGTTGTTGGTCGTGATCTCCCAGCCCGGACAGCAGAACGTACCTTATGGACCAGTGATCCCCGAGCAATACCAGACCTACCAGCACACCGAATACCACGTGGTCAATACCGAGGATTATCCCCAGCAGATCCAACAGCAGAACGGCAAGGTCGCCGGAGTGAAACCGACCGTGGAGGTTGTGCCCGACTCTCTCCCGATCGGCCAGCAACAAAGCCAAGGTGCATTATCCACAAAGAGACAAGGCCGTTCGTTACTGAGTGACGCCAAAACATCAATAAGTGATTTCTTCTTTGCAGTCGTGAGGAACCACTACGTTAATATCTATAGCCAGCAGCACGGACAGTACCCATACACGCACACCCAGTACCAAGTCGGCCAAGGCCAAAACATATACGGCGTGCAGGGTCAGCAGCAGTACTACGGACAACAAGGACAACAAGGCCAGCAAGGACACCAGATGATACACCAAGGACAACAGAGCCACCAGGGACAACAGGGACAGCAATACCTTCAAGGACAACAGCAATTCGGACAGAGCCACGGCATCTACCAAGGACAACAAGGACAACAAGGACAACAAGGACAACAAGGACAACAGTACCAACAGTACCAACAGTACCACGGCCAGCAAGGCAAGCTCGGAGTCGTCCAGAGCGGACTACCCAGTGGTGCGCAACAAGTAGTACAAGGAATACAACAAGGAGTAAAGGGAATACCGAGCAACGTATACGGCGGCACTCAACAAGGCAAATACCACGCAACCTACCAAGGACAGAGCCAGCAAGGGCAAGGATACGGCGTAGGATACTACGGTAGCGGACAGTACCACCTCGGTGGCTACCAGGGCATCTCCGGACAGATCCAACAGCATAAGATACAAGAGGGACAGATGAACGAATACTACCAGAACAAGCACATCTCCGAGATCATCGGCGGTGCAATCTCCCTGGACGGCAAGCCCTACGGCTACCCGTTGAACAGACCGCTGACTCCTGGCGCTCTCTACGTTCCCAACATCCACGTCCAGACCGTCTACGTTTACCACGAAGGACAACCCACCAACGACGTGTACTACCAGTAATCAGTGTTCCTATCAGACCAAACGCGTAACGGCATCGCGTAACGATGTCGAGAGCTATTCGCTGTTTTCTCGTTCAATGATCAAGAATTATCGATGTGTCAAAGTAGCAAATGCAATTAATAAATTGCCCTAAAACGCACATGTTTCGAAATCGACTTCTTTCTTCTCTCCTAAACTCTCTTACCAACGAAAAGCGCGCACACAAGTCGGGATTAACGCAATGAATAAGACACAGTCTTTCTTTCTCTCTTCCTCCCTGCCGCTTTCTCTCTGTCTCTTGCGCAAGTATAAATATTACTTTATTAAAAAAGTGTACTGACTTCCCGGAGATCATGGCTAATGCAAATCCGTCGCGACGCGATTGCGCGCGACTCCATTCGTCGTTGCCGCTCGTTGCCACCGTCCGAAGGCACGCTCATTCCCCGGTCATCATCTCCATAAATTCTGCGAACGAAACGAGCCGCCAATTAAAAAGACCGATAATAATCGCGCCTTAGTTATTGCTGTTATTCGTCATTGTTGCGCAATCGGCATTACGTACCGTCGAAATCCACCGTGCCGGAGCCGTCGGTGTCGATCTCAGCGATGATCCCGTCGAGGTCGGAACTGGTGAGCTTGTCGTCGAGCGCCGCCAGGATCTCCTTCAACGTCGCCGTGGTGATGTATCCGTTACCCTCGCGATCGTAAAGTCGGAAGGCCTCCTTCAGCTCCTCCTGCATCGCCTCGGCGTCCTCCTCCTCGAGGAAACGGCCAGCGATCTTGCAGAAACCGTCGAAGTTCACCTTGCCTTGCCCCTCGGGATCGTTCTCCTCGATGAGGGAGTTCAATTCGCCGTCGTCGAATAGCTGGCCCATCGTGTTCAAGATCGTCGAGATCTTCATCGTCTCGATGAAGCCGCTCTTCGTCGTGTCGAACATCTGGAAGGCCTTGCGCATCACGGCCACCTTCTGATCGTCCTCTTCCTGCGGGCGTTCGATGTTCGTTTACGAGACATCTCGAACGATGTTTGTTCTAATTCGCGATTCGAAGAGTCGACGCGCGAAAGAAAGTCGCGAGGGTCGGACCGTCCCTCGAAAATCCCTTCGCGAGCGTCTCCCGGATAACGCGAAGCGCGTTATCCGGTAAGCGCTCTTAGATAACGGTTTTACATAACGCGACACTCGCGATCTTTCTTTCTCTCTTTTCTTCTCGCACGTCAATTCGATTTGCGATTTTTTTCCTCGACGAGCGAGCAAACTACTGGCCGGAGGCTTGTTTCCTTACGGTCTTACCATATCGATCAATGAGCGGGCTTTCGCACCGTATTAGGCAAACCACGAGCGGCGAACGACGGACGACGGACGACGGACACTTGGAGAGAATCGGTTCTTCCGTCCCGGTATAAAGACTTCCTTCGCGTCTGCTAAACCAGCTAGAAAGCCGGTGGACACAAAAATAGAGCACGCCGACGAAAAATGAAATATGTTATAAGTGAGTACCGCACGGCTTCTCCACGTCGTCGTCGTCTTCGACGTCGTCCTCATGGTCATCCGCGCGAAGGTCGACTTTATATCGCGCTATACGTTCTAATTAAGTGTCAATCGATGTTCACGAGTCCCGACAGATTCTTTTCATTCTTCCGCATCGTACAAAAATAGTCCTCGCTATTCGCACTGCGTCACTATACTTACCATTCGATAGATCGAAGGTCGTACGATTTTTAGCGTTACGTGGAGAGAAAAAGATTTCATTGGATTTGATGAAATTTCTTTAATTCAAACAAATACGTCTTACGGGATAAAGCAAGCAAACAAACGAATGGCTAATTCGACAAACATAATTGTTTGGTTTCTCAAACAATAAATTTACGTCAAATAATATATTTCCTTTGTATTTTCATTCAAATATTACAATAGTTGTCACAAACAATAATAAGCTATTTGAAAGAAGTAACATTATGTTAGAGAAATACTAAAGAACTTCTTTTACTTCAAGGGAACGATGTTTAACATGTAACGAAATAAATTTTTTTAGTTGGAAAAAATATTATCTCCTCTAAATAATACTATTTGTTCTACCAAAGAACACGATTTACTCCAGTGAAACAACATTTTCATTCGGACAAAACGATGTTTTATATGAAATTATGCTGTTTATACTAAACAAATTCAAATCAAACAAACATGTATACTAAATAAAATGACATCTTTTTCTCTGCGCACATATATGCATAAAGTCGAATCATCATAAGTAGAGCCGATATAATCCAACGATTATAATTGGAGTTGCTCGTGCGATTTTCAACCTCATGTTTATATATATAACGTTAAAAATCGTGGGAAATGATGAGATACACATGATGCAATGTGTATATACATGTCGATATTTCTAATCGTGCGTCTTCTACACACCGACACCGGTATCGTATCGCGAGGAAACGTATCCTCATTAACGTCGCGAGAGAAAAATCGTCGTATATATTCTTCAAATTATTACCCGATAATCTGGTACCCGTCGACGCGGATGACGACGTATCGCACGTTCTATCGCGGTGACGATAGAAGTTATTTTCAAGGTACCGGATTATCGTCACGGGCGGACAATGCACGTGGAAAAGTAAAATTAGCACATATATGTTTCCGCGGTCTGTCTATGAATGAATTCGCGCGCGCGCCGCGTGCGCGAGGGAAGACGGCGGGAAAACAAGAAGAACAAGAAGAAAAGAGACGCTATCCAAGTTACCATCCTGTAATTCGCCAAGTACGTGAGGCTCAATTACTCAATCACGCGGAATCGGTATCCACATCATACGACAAAAGCAAACAGATTATCGTAACGCTAAATCGTTCGGTCTCATCGCCGATAAGATCGCGAGAGGATTGCTCCGCCACCGTTTTCCGTTGTAATCGTTTATCGGGTGATATTCCAAGTTTGAAATAGGACAGTGGCGGCCGTATTGCCGTTCTTAGGCCCGGCTGCCTACGCGTTCCGCGGGCTGCAAACCGTTACAACGCGACTCTATCTAGCATGCAGCTAGAACGGTGTAAAAATATATCGGGCCGCCGCCACCTCGCGCAATTCATCGCCGCGCGTTCGCGCGGACTCCTCTTCTTCCAGTCGCGGAAAAAATAGGTCAGAGAGACCACCTTTTCCCTCGTTTAGGATTAGACCGTGACTAATCGCGGCTAACTGCGGAACGGAGCGGCGATCTCCGACATCTACGACACGCTTACACACCGATAGCTTCTAAACTGTCCCTCGAATGATAGGACAGATAGTGATTTCTGAAAAGAGAGTCGCAAAAAAACCGACTTCTCCGAAAGTGATCTTTGATTCCGACTCGCGCGCGATTAAGATATAAGATTTTTATATAAATTTGTAAATAAAATTGGCTAACTGCTGCTCCCGAGATATTCAATCATATACAGTAAAAAAGACAAGCAAAAGTCAACGCCGGTGATACAGAGAATTACATCAAGCAACAGGATTATATCCGGTCTTTGGTTTGGACTCTCTTAAAAAAAAACTGTACTTGGCGTACTCGCAACGATCGCTTTACTATTCATTATTGTATTAATTTTATTATTGTTACACTGAAGAGGGTTCCAATCAAGAACTGAAACGTATGTAACTATCGATTTATTAAATTATCTTGTATTATCTTGTACTATAACTGTAACTCTAATCGTTGATTTGTTAAATCTTATTGTTTAACGCAACTTTCACCGTGTTATCGGCGTCGGCTCTTACTTGCCTTTCTTATATTGCAGATGAATAAATTTGTAATCTTGAAATTCCGCATCGAGAAAAATATCAAAATAAAGATTGACGGAAGATGGGTAACTTTAAGGTTCTTCACGAGATATTTTTGTATTTCATTTCAACATAATTCTGGTACGAAGTACGTCATTCTCGAAAAGGTGCAAGGAGCACCTCGCGAGGTGTTCACTCTTCGAAGTGATCGCTATCTTTAATTAGCGTTAATCTAGCTTACCCGTTTCACGCGTGGGAAGACAAATTGCTCGCGAAACTGTCACACGTGGCCTCCGCCATCTCATGGCTATAATGTACGCTAAACAGTCTTATTAGACATATTTTCGGTGTATCTACTTTGGCGACCGAGGTAAATTCGATGTAGTTGTTGCCACGATCGTGCCAAATTTCGTGTGGCAATTTAGCCCGTGCCGAATTAACGCGCTGTGAGACATCATTCTTAACTCTACGTCACGCGCGAACATTTTGGGGATAGAAACGTTTCTTCTAAAATTTACATATGGATTTGAAACGGAGCCGTGTGATGTAAAAGAATGATATCGCTGTTGCCGAAGACCGTTACGGTATACTATGGTCGATGTTGACCATAAATATCGGATTTTTCGAGAATTCATTCGTTTGCTTTATAGGTATGTGCCCCAAATTCTTCCGCGTTTTATTCTTTAAGTTGACAATTGGTCTGTTCATTTCGGCTGACCTGACTAGTTCGAGAAGTTTACATACACATTGGAGCGTATGAAGCGTACGTACGAGATCCTCACGCTTCGGTGGCGCAAATTTCTTAAATTAGTACTAGTTCGGCTAGAAAGAATCGACCAAATTGCGTAAGGGAGAAAAACCGACGCACCTTCGTTTGCGTTATCGTTTAAACGCGGGAATCTCGAATGTGTTAGAACTTGTTAGAACTTTGAGCGCAAGGAGCCGCGTGCTGTCGTTGTATCGGACAAAAGAGCGTGTAGTTATACACATAATTTGGCGAGATAAACGAATGCCAATCATACGCGTAACATCGAAGCGTGAGAATACCAGAAACAGATGCTAAGAATAAATTAGCGCGCGACAGAGTCGTTTCTAAAATCATCGCCGGCTAGATTCCACTCTGTTTCAAATGCAACAGCTCGCGGTAACGGCGGCCTGTAGAATTTTTTCTCGTCGTGTTTGCAGAAATAAACATCGGTTGGATCGGTGACGGTTGCGTTAATAGCGGTCAAGTTCGCTTTAGCGTAACGTAACGGACCACTTGTGTTTCTGCGACAGAGACGGATGACATGTTATTTTGCGCCGGGGGGAATTTTCGGGAACGCGGGAGAGTCGGCGGCGGTGGTATGTCACGCACACTTATTCAACAGGGAACAACTATGTTGGTACTGACAAATAAGTACGCTGCTCAAAGCGATCAGCTGGCACTGAACGAATAGTTCTACATAGCCCAGATTCAACACAAATATAAATATACTTATTTAAGATTAATATAAATTGTGAGAAGCATCTATTACTTGAAGTATCTAAAAGATGAGGTGAGCGTTTGAAGAAGTGACCCTCTCTGATTGTTTTATGCAGCGTAAATAATACAGTATTTAAGAAGAGATTTTATATTTGTTTTTTTTTTTAAGTGATACACATCACAAATAAATCTGTAGCAAAATCCTCTGGAAAAATGACTACTATACATTACATATCAAAATGTCGATATCGCCCGTGTTCGACAGTAAAGTCCCAATATAACCGCTGATAAATTCTGATACGCAAACCCGAGGATTCAAGCGGCACTTAGAAAAAAATCGTACTTCGTTATAACAAATTTCGTTGAATTGGAGATCGTTTTTTGTCAACAATCCTGAATGACACATCGTTGGATAAACGATAAACCCATTCGCCACGACAAAGCAACGATGACAGATGGTGAAGCGTTTTGTATTTTGTATGGTGTATTGTAAGTAGACCGTTATTTGTTACTATTACTAGTGAAAACATTGTTTTATAGTCAATATACTTGAAGGAGAGACTGAACTAGGCCGATGATTAAATGTTCTCCTTCCATAAACGGATATAAAAAGTTAAGTATGCAAAGGAGTTAGGTCAGACACGCCGCGCACACTACAAGTTTATCATAAAAAAAATACTCGATAAAAACGCCACAATTTCGTGTCACTCTTTCATCACAAAGATTCAGTTATAGCGCACAAAATTTGTCTTCAAGTCTTATCGTTAAAGAATCACAAACATTCCTTCGTTACTGTTATAAAATGTATAGAAAAAAAGACAAGATGTGGCACAGTCTTTATCACAAACTATAATCTAGGTTTTACCTTGAAAATCGGCAGTACTTTCTGACATAGATTGACGCATGAAAATCTAGCGTAAATATCTGCTAGTCGATAACAAAATAACCCTATCATTACATATCGCGCCGTTTTCTTATCGAACAATTGTTGAAAGTACTCGAGTACTTTGTCGTTATTATAAATACAGCATAAATTATATGCCGTTCGGAAAATTGACGTTCTTTCTTGTAATGGCAACCAAGCGATTCGTTGAATCTCAAATGACAACCAACTATTAAAAGTAGATATGATAAGTTGTACAATCGTCGAACCTCTCTCCCTCTCTCTCTTATAAATCTTTAAGCGTTGAAACTGTAAAGACCTCGATAAAGCATATGCAATACTGCGTTAAATCAGTATGCGGTATGCTGTAGCGATAACAAAATTCCTCGACGAAGAAGCGCTTGAAAGTATAGGAGACGACTAGACTGATGACGTTATAATTGTCGTTTCGCAAGCCAAGTATCGTGATCGCAAGTATCTGCGACACAACGGCGACATCGGTCAGAAGACGGAATTTTCGGAGTTGACTTTCTTTCTGCTTTACGGCGAGTGGAAATAATATCGGTATTGTGCCGAGAAACAGTAACAGCATACGGATGTTGTCATCTATCTGATATGCGCTCAATATACCGGACGTCAGTAACGCCAAAGGGACAATTTCAATGCCGTACGAATACCAGTCGTAAAAGCTGCGAAAGCATCTTGCTGTAGGTGTTGACGCCGAGGTGAATGGAACTCCTGAAAATGTTAAAGGTCAAGTTAAAAATATAAATACGAAATATGTATAAAAGTGAACGATATGCATAACACATTCAGCTTGAACAGACATTGGAAGGATACAAGATTCAATGTTATAACTGTGTGCTATATAGTTTGTACAGGAAAACAGTGTATGCAAACAAATGCAACTTGATCACATGACCATACTATCTATCATTAGATTGTAATCACCTTATTGGAACATGTAAGAGATAATACTGATTGAAGTGTATAATACAAATGCATTGGTGCTCATTGAAACTCACAGATGTAAGAAATACGACATTATTGCGAATGCATGTGCGAAAACTCTAACAAATATGTGCGGCTATCTCCAAGTTGCTAGCTGCTTGTGCGTGAAATGATCCGATTGGATGTTTCATAGTCTAGAATCTTAAAGTATCACCCATCTTCGAAAATATTACAGACAGAAAAAAGATATTGTAAAACTTAAAGAGCGGTGAAAAATACAAATACTTTTAATTTTACTGCAAATAAAATATCGAGCAAAGAAATCTAATAAAAAATGTAGCCAAATTCATTCTACTAAAATACTTCCTCACTTGTTCCAACGGCAATGTATAACTTGTACAAATTACCGTAAATCCATAATGTTGGCAAACGGAAAACATCTTCCTCTTCCATTGCTGATTTAGACACAAAAATTAAATACCACGTGTGGCCATGTGTCATTTTGTATCAACCGTTCCTTGTTGTGCCCCCCACCCCCCATATAGTTATGACATGGAATCTTGGGCGGTCCATACCTATAAGTTATTATGTTTTGAACAAAGAAGATATCAATGGAAAAAAGGAAGGTCATTAAAAGAAAATCCGTATAGACGCATCTTTGAGTTATTTATGAATGAGATAAGCATATATGACTTATATACACAAGATTGAGAAAAGGATCATAAAACAATAGCGATTATCGGTAACAGTAGTTACAATAAATTGAGAACAGATGAAGTGGAAGAAGACGTTCTGATTGATCTCACTGATATTTAATCGACACAAGACGCTTGTTTGTCCGCGACAGAAGCAACAGGTAAACACATATACAGACATAAGACAAGGCCTTACCGAATCTGAAGATTCCCAAGATCGAATGCATGAAGAGAATGCGAAAAGCGCTCAGACACCACGTAGTTGGCAAGATCTTCCCCCGGTAAGGCTCGGCGAGATTCCTCATGCATACCGCGGTCACCAACAGTTTCACGAAGTGCGCCACCGCGCTGCCCGCGTTCACCATGATCACCGTCTCGCCGCGAGCTCCGAAATTCCGCGAAGTAACCCGTGATCTCCTGCTCGAGGATGGCCGACGGAGTTTTCCATTCGTAACGCCGTCGTCGTCGTTGATCGTGCGTTGGAGTATTTTAGAACGGTCACTCGATCGCCAATCTTACCTCTTCTCTTGTAACAGGCACCCCAATCTAGTCGGGGCGGAAGCAGAAACGCATGGCGCCGGCCGAAGTGGCATTGCAGGTGAGACAGTGTGACTTCTTCGATATTTTGTGACGAAATATCGCGGAACGTCACGCAAACTCGTACGTGGTGAGCCACGCCGAAAGAAAGGAACAATTCGGCGAGATTCCGCGGGAGGAAAACGACTATATCGTACGCTTCAGAAGGTGATTATTGCAAGACGCGTGCTATTCACCCGAGCGACTCGAAGAGAGAAATGACCCGAGCGATAGCCAATCCGCTTGCCGCTTTCTCGGAAACAACTAACTCGCTATGGCGTACTGATTGGCGCATCGATTAACGTTTCGTGTGCATCAGCCGTAAGAATTCTACAGTTCGGTGACGAACAACAATCGTGCACGTGTATTCCACGCGGCACGGCGGTACCGAATAATCGAGGTGGAAAAGATGAGTCGGGCCAGAGGAAAATTTGCTTTTTAGCTGGCACTTTTTACATTCGCACGCGAGTGTCGGTATCCCCATGAGACGTGATGCGTTCGAGTTTAACGATAAACACAGCACGACAGCATGGAAGAGAAGCCGACACCCACGAGGAAAAGGCTGAATTACGAAAACAAGCTTATCCTGGCGCCAATGGTGCGTATCGGCACGCTTCCGATGCGTCTGCTGGCACTGGATTATGGCGCGGATATAGTGTACACCGAGGAATTGGTCGATCGGAAGTTGCTTCGTTCGATTCGCCGAGAGAACGGTAAGATAATCTCCCTTGTTTCTTTGTTTACGTTGAACTTGGTCGAGTCTAAAGTTGAATTGTATCTCTCGCGGTTCCAATCTCACATAACTCTAGCCTGAGTTCGTTTACTTGTCGTTCATTATTTCCGAATCACTCATTTGTTGCTTCGTTCGCAGATGTTCTAGGCACCATCGATTACATCGACAATACGGATGGCACCGTAGCGTTTCGTACTTGTCCTCGCGAGCGAGACAATGTGGTTCTCCAGATCGGTACGTCAGATCCGGCAAGGGCAGCCCAGGTCGCCAGAATGGTAGAGAAGGACGTCGCAGGCATCGACGTTAATATGGGCTGTCCCAAGAACTTCTCGATAGTTGGGGGAATGGGTGCTGCTCTTCTATCCAAGCCACAGCAAGCATCCAGCATCTTGAGGGAGCTGATTGAAACTGTGTCCATACCGGTCACTTGTAAGATACGCGTTTTGCCTGATCTGAAGGAAACTCTTCAACTTTGTGACACCCTCACTTCTACTGGTATCGAGGCAATTGCAGTGCATGGTCGCACGATCAATGAAGGGCCGCAACACTCAAATCGCAATCATGTTCTCAAGCAGATCTCCGAGAGACTGCCGATACCGATGATCGCGAATGGTGGATCCAAAGATATACAGAATCATTCCGATATACTCAGGTATAACGTCGAGTCTGTTGTAAAGTCTGGATTTATTTTGTAGAACTGTTAATGTTTCCGTAGGTTTAAAAAAGAAACCGGTAGCAGCAGCGTGATGGTCGCTCGTGCAGCCGAATGGAACTGCTCGGTATTTCGTAAGGAAGGTCCGCTCCCGATGGATGATGTGATAAAATCATATTTAAAATATGCCGTCGATTGCGACAATCCTCCTTCTAATACGAAATATTGTGTACAGAATATATTGAGGGAGCTACAGGACTCCATTTTGGGCAAAAAGTTCCTCAATGCGCAAACGTTGGAACAAATATGGTGAGCTTGTTTTTTTTTACTCTTCCCTTATTCTTTTCCTCTTTCTATTCTTCTTTAACAGATCTTGAATATGTTCTTTTCAGCGAATTATGGGAATTGGGTGATTATTGCCGATCCAAGATGAAGGAATTCCAAGATAAGGGTCTGCTGGGTCGATTTCAAGTATCTCCGGATATGCTCGATGAGGACACGAAGGACGACTGCATTTCTCAGAAGAGAAAAATTCACGAAGAGGAAGACGTTGCTATGATGCGTTTTGCCTTTTTGAGAAGTAATTACACGAGAGACGAGGAGTTGCCAAAAACCAGGTTACTCAAGTGGACCAAGGATCAGCATAAAAAGATGCCAGTATACGACACTCGGCGAAATGAAAAACTTTTCTGTTCCATAGTCACCGTTGATGGCAGGAAATACGGCTCTTCTTTTTGGTAAATTAAATTCCAGAACGTCAGTCTTCTCTCTTTCTCATTCCGTTCTTCCACATCTTCATATTGTCTTCTTTTCTAGGGAGAAGAATAAAAAATGGGCCGAACAAGGTGCCGCTTTGGTATGTCTATACTTTTTAGAGATTATTGACGAAAAGAGTCTTACCACTAGCGGTAACGTTCTTTCGCGATGATATCCGATTTATTCGACCTATCTGATGTCGACGCAAACATCGAAATGTCTGTAAATATCATTTTTCGAATAAAAATCGTTTTTGTTTGTATTCAATGTTTTTAAGCGTTTATTCTACTGTCCTATTATCTATCTACTTTAATGCTACTAAAATTACAAATAAGATAATGGTCTTAGACTACGAGAGATGCGAAATATACATTTCCTTTTATTTTGATACATTTTTTTTCTAATTAAAACTCGTGAAAGAGCCAATGTATAATTTAATAAGAAATACTATGAAATAGGTAACTATAGCGGGTTGTTGAATACCGCATATTGGAATAAAATGACTAAATTGACATAATCGATTTTAATCTCAAATTTTATAGAAAGCTGCTTAGTATATAGTCATTCATCTTATGCATTTGTGACAATTTAAAGTTCATATTGCATTACACCATACATTTTAGGATTAAGGACAATAAGTAATGTGCACATATATATTTCCAATTGAAGAGATATGTCCAACGCATACATACAAAATACATCACAAGCCGTCAATTAGCTTTGACTGTGCGTAGAACATCGCTGGATTATGTTAAATCAAGTATATTAAAATGTAATTTCATGGAATCAATGTACATGATTTGATTATTACAGCATATAAGCGCGCAAAGAAAATATACAACAATGCTGACACATTCTTTGGTACAATCATCAAGATATAGGCTTCATAATAGGAGATATTGTAAGTAACATTTGATTACAATAATGCTCAAGAAGCCAATTTGTACTAATTATAGTATATTTATTATGCTTATAGATGTGATTATATTTATTAAAAGATTTGTCAGCTGTAAAGCAAGGAAATTTATATTTATGAAGAGGAGAGAGAGAGAGAGAGAGAGAGAGAGATTAAGATCGCGCCATCGGACATGTTCGATTTGTAAATAGGTATTAATCAACTGAATGTTTATATTTAATGATATTCTCCATTTGGGGACAATTCAAAACTAATGCTAACACAAAACTGCCACACTATCGCAGTTTACTGATATAGTATGGCAGTTTTATGTTAGCATTAGTTTTGAATTTTCCCCAAATGGAGAATATCATTAAATATAAACATTCAGTTGATTAATACCTATTTACAAATCGAACACGTCCGATGGCGCGATCTTAATCTCTCTCTCTCTCTCCCTCCTCTTCATATAATTGCATCGAGAAATATTAATATTAATATATAATTTCCTTGCTTTACAGCTGACAAATCTTTTAATAAATATAATAATGTGCACTATTAGAGAACATATCTTCTTTTTTCTCTCTCTCGCGCGCGCGCGCTCATCGTATATTTAAATATATTTCGTGTCTTTGCAAATTCTAGAATATTCGTAGGTTTTCTTGAAATGAGGATAAAAACATTCGTTAAGATGGAATGAGCATTTTGGATCTTGATAAAGTACAGATCAAATCATAATCACTGCCTATATTTGTGTCGGTATTATTATCTGTGGTGTAAAACATAACTATGAATTTTGTGTTACGTAGCTTTTAACTATAATATATATATATNGTTCTTTATCATAATACGCGATGATGTCTCCATTTTCAGAAAAACGCGACAATAAATACCACAAATAATGATACTGATCGTTAATATATGCAATATAAGATTTTGCTATATTGCGTACTCTTATATGTAATATAAATCTGGTTAAATAGGCCTCCCGATGGTATTGATTAATATATGTTTCGTATAATTGTCTTATATATCAATACATACATACATATACATATATATATATAGTGTTGTTTTAGATAATTAGATGTAAATCATGTTTTCATGTAAAATCAGATTAACTGATGTATATATCAGCGTCCGTGAGCCACTATTAATAGAATGGAATTTTGATCGTTAGTGCACATTACATTAGGATATACAATACATATTAAATGAATACAAAACATTTTAAATAGAAGTGCCTGTCCTCTCCCGCTTTATCACTCTCGATAATTGATATTACTTAATACAATGATTTCATGTCGTGCTGCATAAAGTGGGAGGCAAGCCCGCTAAAATTTACAATGTAATTAAAGTTAAATTATACTACGCATTAAATAAACATAAAATACCTCCTAAATAAGAATCAATGGAACCCGTTCAGCTTGAAACGCAAAAAACAATTTGTTAGAAGGTAAAACTATTGCGTGTATGTAAGAACGAAAACAGTTACACGTTAAATAATTCGGTCGCTACGAAAAAGAATTAAACCTGCCAGAGACACATTGAAAAATGGCGTAACTTCATTCATCACATATCTTTTACGAAACTTTGTAAATAAAGACTTTATTATGCCTTATATGATTTTAATGATGTATAACATTTTCGTCTTACAATAATCCTATTTATTACGTGTATAAGATTACTGTAACTAATAAATACATCAATTGTCATTTGTTACCTCATGATGCGGCTTGCGCACAACTAAATTGTACAAAGTAAATGTTCAGATTAAAACGAAGAGCAGGAGTAAAGGTCAATTCAGATCGGAGAAGGATGAAGCGGTGGACAGAAAGGCCCCAGCCCCTAGCAGCACCCACCACCTTGCGCACTACCTTGTCCACCAGTGCCTGGTAAACCTCCAGGACTTGTCGGCGAATGCTGTGGTCCAATCTTAATACCATTTGCCTGTGCAATTTAATATTCATACTAATATTTAGAACATTTTTGTTACGAGACAGACTTCTTTAATACTTTCTTTAATATCAAAAAAATATCACCATAAAATAATAGATAAATACAAATACAAGAGGAAATAATAAGAGAAACTAAACATAATTTGTATATTGCCTCTGTATATCTGTCATTCTTTAGCTTTTCACATACTGATGGATGAAACTAGCAAGACTTATATTTTGTAATCATATTCCTCAGAATAGTTTAATACGATTAACCCCTTAACGCACAGGTTTTTTGAAAAAAATCGGCCAAAAAAATCAATTTTTTTTTATGTAAAACAATTTTTTTATTTGCTTTCACATTGTTATTTTCAATTCTCGATTATATTTGAGTGTGAAAAATTATAGCAGCATAAAATACAACGCCGCTCGAATTATCTCGAGTGTGCACAGTTTGGCCTGTTTAGCGCGCTCGAATTAACTCGAGCATACAAGTTAAGGGGTTAAAGAATAGTAAACAAAATTATTGGATAAAATCATGTAAAGAGTAAGTTTATTTGTTTATTCGCGTGTATGCAAAGCGATTTTATATAAAGCGATTGAAAATATTACTATACCTCGTTATTGATGTCAAAGACTCCTTCTTGTATCTTCTCATATATTTCTTTCGCTGTATTAATGAACGCTTCTTCTACATTGGCTGCAGTTTTGGCACTGGTCTCCATAAAGACTAGACCATGCTCCCGTGCAAAAGCCTCACCTTCTTCTCTCCTCACTTCTCTTCGGTTATCCAAATCGCTCTTGTTGCCAATCAACATAATAACCATATTGGAATTCGAATGTTGCCTTGCATCTTCAAGCCAAGTTGTAAGATGATTAAAAGTTTCCCTACGTGTAATGTCATATACCAATAGAGCTCCGGCCGCTCCACGATAATATGACCTTGTTATAGAACGGAATGCCTCTTGACCAGCCTATGAGTCATGAAAACAAATAAAAATTGATATTTGACAGTCAGGGACTTACACGCATTGTCATTAAAATTATATTTATATATTTCTGTAACATTGAAATAAGTAAAATTGTTAACATACACAATATATATGTTTTTAATATAGAAATTAGTCAATGATAGAAAATGCTTAGCTGAAGATTAATTTCCAATTAATAGTCATTTTGATTAGTAATGTTTGAAATAAGATATCAATATTAAAAATATATATATAAAATATATAAATAATTACAGTATCCCATATCTGCAGTTTAATTTGCTTGCTATCAATGGTAATCATACGAGCACCAAACTCGACTCCTATTGTCAGGTCATGGACTGGCTGAAATCTTTTATCCGTAAACTGAAGAAGAAGACAGGACTTTCCAACTCCTAAGTAAAAATAAAGTCGCGATATTTACTGTGCTTATACTGCAACTCTTGATTACAGAGTCTTAGTGAAAGTGGTCTATGTTCTATTGCATAAGACTTTTATGCTTGTGCACTTAGTGTGTCTTGCTTTAACGTTTACAAGTACATGTATGCATGTTATGTATTCACAATGTTACGCTGATTTAATTCAATCTTATATCTACTATTTAATATAAAGATTTCCATTCCCAAGGCACGAGCTATCGATATTATTACTTAAAAGAGAAATGAAAACAATATTCTCGTGTATATTAATAAATGCAATACACAAAGTGCATCTAACGACGACATAAATAATTCCATTATAAAAGACGCGATGCATGATATGCTATTTATAGCTGCCAGCGGTGAAATCAACAAGAGAGCTCATAGAATACAATATAATACGTACTGTTTGAATCGCTTTTGTCAAAGTAGCAACAGATCGAAATAACAAATTGGTTGGGCAGCACGAAATTGCGAAAACTTTCGTGTTAAACACTGACACGCGATATACATATTTGAGAGAAACGAGAGTGATATCGGGATAAAGGGCATCCTCGCAGTTGGTGTCCGCCCACGCGGCATCAATTTACTCTTGACGTTTGCAAATAGAGGAGAATATCGCGGCACGCGCGCGAGAACGAAAACAATGGGCTCATGTCGCAGACGACGCAGAAAGCGAGCGGGACGAGGAACTCGTTTCGGGAACATTGCCACCGAGCGATCGTACGTCACGTATTTACCTGTGTCTCCGATAATGATATATTTGAAGAGGTACGCGTACGACATTTTGGGATACGCGTGGCTTGACAAGACCAGCAGACAGTTCTCTCGACACCAGGAAACAGAGCTCTCACTTCTTTTCACCGTCTTATCTCTTCTGCTCCAGCATAACGTCACGGAGACACTTCGGTAAGACTCGGCTTGCCTCGCGCTGCCTTCGGCTTTTCGATATTTAGTCGTCGCTGTCGTCACACATCGCGAGGACACGTCGTCGTCATCACGGCGTCACATCGGCCGTTGATTGGTCGCGTTCTGGAAACAACCGGAATCGAACGATCGCTCCGTTGCGCCCGATCATGGCGTCGCGAGGGGCTTTAGTCACGATCTACAATAGGTGTAGTAAGCTTTAGCAGTAAAAAATAGACCAATCACGGTCGACTATTCTCTTCACATTCGACTATGATTGGTCAATTACTTACGGTTTAAGGCTATTACACCTATTGTAAATACCGCTTGACCTAATCTATGGTAATTTGTGTTACCCTGATCGATTTTCATTCCCGTCTGTTGGCGACACTGCTCGCCGCTGTTGCTTGGCGTCGCTTCGTTCGCACGCGCGCTGCGTCCGTCGCGCAATTCGGAATTGTTGCAACAAGTACGGGCGCGAACGTAACGGACATTTTTCAGCCGCTTTAGAAAGGTCGGTGGAATTCGCGCGAGGAATCCGTGCGCGTCGTCGTCCAATCATTTCAATCGTTAATTCGCGAGCGCGCGCGCAAACCGCGCCGCCGACTTCGTCGTTTCGCGTGGCACAACGACAAAGAATATCGACAAAGTGTCTGTTTCACGTAAAAGTGTGCGAATTCGTGCAAGGGAGGCTTCGACAAACTCAGGTAACACGATACTCGAAGAGTCTTCCTCCGGGTCATCGGGCGAAAAAAAAATCGGCTCGATTGCGAACGACTCCATCGGCGTTAGCTCGTCGCGCGAGTATCGGCTCGTCTGAACATGCATTGATTATTTAACGCCGCTTTACCGTCGGATTCAGTCGACAGATTCGATCGTGCTCACATCCAAGGCCGATTTGTTTCCCATCCGATGCCACTTGTCAACACTGCCATTTGTTGGTATCTTCATTTTGTGGAAGTCGATTCTATTTCCAAACTAACCTTTCACTATCAAATATTGCTCAGACGTGCCTTAGTACTGTCATAATCACTCGTTTGAGCTCGTACGTGAATGAGAATGGCTTTAAAATATTAAATCACTGTAAAACGAAAGATCAGATCTCTTTTGTGTTGCTGTTGGATTGATATGAGCAATGTAAACAAAGTAGGTTAACATTTGGTTTATATATGTGTTAAATGTTCCTATATTCCACAAGTAACATATTAAATGGTTCATGTGACGTTATGATTCAGTGTGTTTGTAAAATAATTGCTTTCAAGAATGAGATACCCTATATTTTAAGTAAATTAGGCAATACTGTAGGAACCACCTGTTATGTCTAGATGCAGAGTGTTTTTAAAAGCTGATAATTCATATATTAAATATAGAGCTCCTGCACAAAGAATTCTATTTGACCTAAATTCAGTTTAATTGTTTGAAAAGACTCATTAGTATGTAAATAATTTGTCTTGGGGTCTTTTTGCAGAATAAAGAAATGTATCGAAGGAGGTAACGAATCTAGAAAACAGGATCATGGCGAACAGAAGAGAGAAGCCTGCCGGCTTTGTGAGTAGAATCATCAAATCTTAGTGTGTTACGACTTGAGTCAGTAACGGGATTGTACAATGCTCCAAAGTTCAACTAAGAATTCTCTAGAATCCAAATCAGAAGCCAGAACCATTCCAGAAGTTAAATACAACTCATTCTGTCAATACGGTGCAGTAATGAAGTCATTTTAGGATCGCACATGGTAATATTATCAACCAATTCTGGAACGACCGTTTCTAACTTGGAATGCATTGGACGAATCCTAATGTTCCCACCTAGGAGTACATTCCAATGTGACGTACACCTTTCCGCACTTCTTATCTCGTATTTTGCAACGATAATCGATATCAGTAGTTTACCGTTGGCTTACGTGTGACAGTCGCATTGTGAGTAACACTGAGGCGCGGTCGTGCGCGCGGATTTACAATTTTTTCTCCGAGTCCGCGCACAATTATCACCCGTATCGACAATTGATGAACGTCGTTCGTGCGCTGATTCCGCGATGCAGCGCGATGCTTGAATGAAATTGAAAAATAATATAAAGTTCACGCATCGATGACGTAACTGTTAGTCTTTGAAAAACAGTGATTCAGAGTGGAAAATGTCAACTATACAGAGAAGAAAGACCTGGTATAGTGTAACCGATGCAGGTATCAAGGTAGGGATCGATCTTTCGGATCTGTCGATTCTCGGGAACCAATGTTGCTAAAATTGCAAAGTCACCGAGTCGTCGGGAAATTCGTGCAATTGGAAAATTCCGACGTCTCATGACGTGGGAGCCGGGATACGTGCGTATTTTTCTTTCATCGTTTGTCGGTGTAAAGAAAACGTTATTGTCGGGACCCTCGATGTGAAAATGATGTGTACGCGAAGCGCATCGCTCTCGTGGAAAGAGATAAAACATGTAACGTGTAGGAATTTCATAGTGATACGCCATGATAAGTGGACATAATGTCCGGGTTTCCTGTTGTCTTATCGTATTTGTCGCAGCTTGTGCCGGCGACGTCGTGTACATGCACACCGCGAGCATTTTAAAGTGCCACTGTTTCAACATTCACGTAAAACGATATTTTTTTTCACTCCACCGCATTCAACGCGGTTCTCTTATTTCCGCACGCGTCTTTCGGATTCCGATTCGCATCAAATGTCGTTCGTGCACGTCGCAATTTCCTCCGTGCTGATAGATGTTTGTTATCGCTCCTGATTTGAATTTCGATACCGTCACTTTTGCGATATGCGCGTCACTATCATTTGTATTTTTAGCTCGACTTTTTCGCGACCTGCAATACACACGACTAAAAAATCGAGTCGAGCCACAGAAGAAAAAAATTACAGCCACGACAAAAGATACACGACGATACGGCGCATTTCGCGAATGCGTGGATCGCTCGAGACGCTATAAAAATTTAAAAAAAAAAGAAGGGGAGGAAAGTGGAACTTTGGAATCGTTGCATCTGTTCGATGGATCTTCAATAAAGAATGTGATACAAGCGTGTAGTGTTCGATAACGCCAACAGAGACTCACATGCAAACATATGCACCCACACGCATTTATTGACCTTAGGTGCAGCACAAATTCGAGCTGTATTGCGTCACGCGTGCAAAGTTCGCCGGTGTAAATTCTCAACTTTATCGCCGCAATTGCGCGATTGGCGAAATTTGCCGATTTCATCGTTGACGATCACCGCGAAACTTCAATATGTTTTTCTCTTTTTTTTTTTCTGTTGACGGGAGATGGCTGCATCTGCGAACGCCTGTGCGTGCGGAAAGCAGACGATCGCGCACACTTGTGTCGATACGCGTAATTATGTAGCATTTAATGTGCAACGGACAACAATATAGCAGCGGGGATTGCCGCAAGAATCGGACACGAGTGCGTGACGTATACGATGCGTCAGGTAAAAATGAGCCTGCCTGTCGGTAGCGATTCGCGAGAATCAAAGTTCATGCCCTTGGAACTTTAAACGCATAATTACGTAGCCACACGAATTGGAGATGTTAAATATCAATATATAATCTCCTCATCGGAGGTGTCATACTGTATTTTGATTGCAAAAATTCAGCACCGTTTTTTCCGTCTTATCGAATGCTCCTTGAATAACCCTATATATACCGATAACGCGTGTCATACAAATCTGGTTTATCGCAACATACATTTTTATACTTTGGAAAATAGGGAAAAATGTAACTCAATGTGCTATTTACTTACAATCTTCTTAACAGTAATATCGTATGCTCCGAAATTCTTTAGCCTATACATATCTTCTAAAGCGGTGTGGCTCTTCTGATTTATTTCGTAGAATTTCATGGGATAATAATGAATAAATAAATAAATATATGTCTAATATTTGCGAGATATTCGAGTAACGTTGCATCACGATGCTAACATAAATGGATCCCACCTCCGAGGTGGTCAATTTTTCGAATCGCAGTTCGTGTGATACGAGAATCCCCTGCGAGCGGGCGGGCGGCGGGATACGCACGGATATCGCGTGAGAATAAAACCACCGGGATATTTAATCCTCTTGCGCGCATGCACGCGCAACTCCCCGGCCGGCCTCGCACACCGGAGAAGCAGCTAAATTTTAGGAGATCGGACAGAGACGTTTAGCGTTGAAACGCCACGTCGAGGATGCGGAGGTGCTAAACCGAACGCACGTCTTGCGTTTCGCGCAAGGACAAAGGCGCACCTTCCAGCCGCCGGAGATGATCTTCGCCGCGACGGACGACCGCGCGTAGGTCGGAGCGCGCGTGCGGAGAAAAAGAACAAAAAATGAGTGAAAGAAAAAGAGGACTCTCTCGACTCGCACATTCGGCCTCCGCGTATACACCTAATGGAATTTCGCGTGACACCGTTTCGTTCTCTCTTTCTTTCTCTTTCTCGCGCTTTTTCTCTCCGTCTCTCTCCTGCAGTAGAAGGTCGGTCAGACTGCTGGCGTCATCGCCCGACTGCTCGCACAAGTGATATCATCCGTAACCACGCGTGTATTTTTTTCTTCCGGTTAATCGAGAATAATTAAAACCACCAGTTAGTTTCCGCGAGACTCGCGGAAAGGGACCTGCGGGATCCCTTGAGTTACGTCACGTTCGGGAAAACGAAATGACGCGACGAATAAAAGGAGGGAGAAGAAGCGTGAAATCGGAGCACGTAGGAAGGAAGGAAGGATCAGAGTACATTGCACAACGCGGAATAATCGCGACGAATTCTGTCGAATTTCGAGCGTTAAAACGTTAGATTGGAATAAAAAGAGGAGTTACAGTAATCGAACGATTAGGATAATTTCTCTCTTTCTCTCTCTCTCTCTCTCTTCGTTTCTCACGACTTTTCTCATACCTGCTGTACGCACCGCGCTGCGCCCCGGTCGGGCGGCGCGAGATAGAACAGGTGGTCGTATGTAGAGCGTTACGTAACGCGACGCCACGCCGAAATACGTGGCGGTACTCGAATCGCGATTGAAATCCGAAATTCGCGTAACATTGCCGAACATGAGACGACCCGGGTGTCGAACGTCATCGCGACGTATGGTTCGACGCCCGAAATAACATCCACACGACCGCCCCGCCTTTCTCACGCCAGTTATAAGCAGTAATGCACGCTTCATTCGCCACGTGACAATACGCGGCGCTTCCCTGTGAGTGACACGATGTAAATGAAACCGGATCTTTTAACGTGTATTTAATCGTCCGGGTTTCGCCGATCCAGACCGTTCGCTGCGTTGCGGTTAGACAGATGGTCCTTAATGCCAAGGATAATACGCAGGATCGGAAAAGGCGATGTGATCTCTTCTCGAGCACTAATGCCTATCTAGAATATGCGCGCATGCACACGCATACGTACGCTAAAGATGGAATATCTGAGGACACAGGTCTCTCTCTTTTTCTCTCTTTCTCTCGTCGAATTCGTGTCAAGTTTGCGCCGAGTATGGTCGCGATGGTTCATGGGGGGTTCGAGAAAATGCGTATTATCGATCGACACGTGTGTGCCGTGTGTCAACGTCGAGAATAACCTCGCGACACCGAAATACTCTCAGGAGCGCTCGGTATATCGAGTACATATTAGACAGCTCATAGAAATAACAGAGGGGATTTCTGTCAGTTTCGCTTCGAAATCAGGGAAGAAGTCGAGAATTCGCGATGATGCGACGGGCGATCCTCGAGACGAGGACCCGTTAATGGTGTAACTTCTGATGAAACGTACGTCAGGCTGAATTATCAATTAACAAACAATCGTACTCTGTGACACACTCGTAAAATTGCGTAAAATTGCGTACAGAGTGAAACTATCTTTCACAGTGAATTATCGACGTTTTCGTACATTATCTATTTATTTGACACTGTCTCTCCGTAGTATCGATACTATGTTATTATTGTCGTCGGCAAGAAGCACGAGGTCGAAATATTTCTCTCCCCCTCTCTCTCTCTCTCTCTCTCTTATCGTGATAACCTATAACACATGATTAGTGACAAGTGTCGTGAATGTTTTTATCGAACTTGTCGAAACCTTGGTCTATTCGGAGCCGTGACGTAGCCACCCGACCGGGCGCATTCCGAGATACGCAAGGATCCGCGTGATTCACGACAACCGTCTATCCTTTCGGTCGGAATCGAATGCACAGTCGACGTGAAGGGGAGCGAGAAGCGCGGGCGGGCGGGTACTGTTGGATAGTATGAAAGCAAATGTCCGTCGCCGCGCGAGAAAGAGAGAGAAGAAAATAATCGTCCTTCCGCTGGGTTCAACCGCGAGTTTCTTTTCATATTAGGATGTTTTCGGAGTATGTGATATGGTAGGATAATTTCGAAATAGACGAAACGGAAGGATTAAAATAGACCAGTCTTGTGTGTAGTAAGGGGGCGGGCGCTGTAAGACGACGATCTTAAGATAAATTTATCTCCTTTGATCAGGGAATATGCCGTCAAAATAAGATAAAGAGCCGAAAACTTGATCTCGTCAAAGGTCAACGGAGAATGGTTACTTATCGTCGACTATGACGTCAGCGGTAAAAATAAATCACTATCCGGGATTGTAACGTCGGGAGGGAACACAGGGAAAAGAAAATAAAGGAGAAAGTTTCTTGCGACTTACGGTGGAAGGAACAACGTCGTTGGAGCTGTCACAGCTCGATGCGGTAGACTCGTAATTCGATACCGGGAACTTTGTTCGGAAGAGAACGAGCTGCTGCAAGTTGAGACAATAATGTGAAATCACGTCTGTATCGTAATTGAAGATTACTTGAGTATTAAACAATTTTAATAAACAACGTCGAGCTGTCGCAGCTCGATGCAACAGAGCTCGTAATTCGCGGTGAGAATTTTGTCGTATGGAAAACGAATTGCTGCAAACTGAGACGGCGTAAAGTTAAGGTAATGTGAAACTGTGTGTGTCTCGATCGTAATTGAAAATTATTTGAAGATTAAACGCGAGTTAGCGCGCGGAGGTTTTCCCCTTAATTTTCTCACTGCTGACATCATAGTCGAAGATGACTCGACCCACACGATCGCCGAGACTTGTGCAACGTTTGCGCATCGCCGGCACAGATCACGTTAAAGGCGATCATTCGCGTGAGAGGAGGATAGCGTGATCCTCCTAATCCTCTTGGAGTCGCTCGATTTACACGAAGGCTCATGCGCCTCGACGTCGTCTATGTTGCCGACATCGGGGTGTGAGCGCAAGGGACGAGGGACTCTGGAATTGGCACACGTCTTACGAATTTCAGACTCGCTGAGCTCGTGCCTGATAAGCGGTCAGCGTGGAGAGAGAGAGAGACGGTTCCGCGTCGCGATACCGAGGAGCACCGTAAGAGCACGCCGGGATGCCCGACGCGATCTTCTCTCCTTTTGGTTTCTTTAATTTCACCGCGATGCCGTTATGTTAATCTTACGTTACGGCCTAACTGTACCGACCGCGCGCGTAATACATACATACGTACGCGGGCGCACCTTTACGCGCGAGCAGGTAACGCCGAGGTAACGAACCATCGATCGGCTTATTACGAAATCGCGCGAGCCCGCCGAAACTCCGCGGACGCGACTGCGATCGAATCCCTTTTCTTTCCTTTTTCTTCCGTTAACGCCGCGCGCTCCAATCGAGAGAATTCGCGTCGAGCTCTCTCTCTCTCTCTCTCTCTCTCTCTCTCTCTCTCNTCTCTCTCTCTCTCTCTCTCTCTCTCTCTCTCTCTCTCTCTCTCTCTCTCTCTGCAGGTTTCCCGTATATCTCTCCTCCTTCGGGCGATTTGATACAGAGAAAAAAAATGCTAGAATCAAGTAAACGTAATTACCTGTTTTTCAGCCTCTTACATCAAGTTATATCAAGTTTTATCAATTTATATAAGTATATTTTAATAACTTATAGTAAACTTACTTAACTTAAACTTACTTAAACGCGCAGTAATATCTTAGTTTGTAAATGAATGTATGAGATGGTTCTAAATTTAAAAGAGTATTTATTAGAATTACGCAATACTTCTTTTTTTTATTGAAGAAACCTTGTGGTGTTAAATTTAGATTTTTCAGTCCGGTAAATATGTTGTAAAAATAAATTCTGATGTTCTCAATATTACGAATTTAATATTTGTCACAATTGTTTTAACACGTAGAAGTAAATGCTTACTTATTCGATCAATTATATTTCTATTTCTAGTGAATATATTTTCCAAGGAATGTTGGAATAACTATTTTACTTGGGCCAAGGAAATGTTACTTGAACGCGATAGCACTTTTTTCTGGGTATTAATGCTTCCAAGTATCCTGGATAGAATTTAACTTGACCACCGGGATAATTGAACGTTGGGAAAGGTGCAAAGAAATGATATTAATGTGACATTTTCTCCGCGAGAAGTCGACCGCGACGACCGGTGCCGAAAAAAAACGAGGAACAATCTGTGGGGACACTCGGGGGTCGTGTGGAAATAAACGGTGTAAAATAAGAGACCACAGACGCGGAGGCACGAGCTGTGACAGTAATCTTTCGCGAGGGATCAAAGAAGTCCGTCTTCCAGATTAGCGGACGAACTTTCTACAATTGCGGTAATTTCGCGTTGCAAATTGCTTCGTCGCGTGCGGACCGAATATACCGCTACGGGGGCACTGTATTTATATCAGAAATAATTTTCGTCCTTTTTTCCGAAAATTGTTTCGGAAGCGGTACTTAAGAGCGTTTACGAAAATTATGCAATCGTTGCATGCAAGAAGAAAATAAATATTAATAACAGTAATAATACATTACGACAAGCTGTAATAATAAGATAATTTAATTACCATCGAAAGCGAATGAAACACAAGATTCTGCTTTTTATCCGCATCGCTGAAGCATGATTCGCGAAAATTTCACTTGCGAAAACGCGGCAATATTTCCGTCTCGGCTCGTTTGAAAAAGATGAAATTGGTTGATTTCATTTAACCTTACATAACTTTCTTCCTTCCCCCCCCCCCCTCTCTCTATGATACTAATTCGTTAATCAAGCTGATTGAGAAAAGCGCGTAGATTATTTGGTTCGTATTTTGCGTACATATTAGCTTCTGACAGAAGAAAATGCCGCACGACAGTTTAAACTGCTCGTTTTTCGAAGATCGGATTGTTATCGTATCGGACACTTCGCAGATAACGCGATGCAATAATGAACTCAGTCTGATGTATAATTTACGCGCGATGTTCATGGTACGATGGTTGACGAGTCGAGACCGCGACGAAGGAAGGGGATGGTTATCGCGTGCATTCGAGGCGCCATGGACCGGCGCGCGTTCGACAAAACCCGCCGGCCAGTTCGCCGCGGTTCTTCCTCGGGTGCAGTTGTCGAGGTTTTCACCTCCTCTTGCGTTCAAGTCGGTTAAATGCCCCTTTGACAGCTTGCGAGAGTCGCCGATTGCGTAATTTACGAGCGACGTACAGCTAAGCGGGAAAGCTCTTGGTCGTGAGAAGTTGGCTGTGAGAGAAACGAGTGAGAAAATAGCGGTGATAATAGACGGTACCGGAAAGAATTGATCGTGTCAGACACTGAGTTATCGAAGCTTTCGTTCGTTAATTATAAGGTTATTCGCGCCCGAGATACGCGAATATCGGTGATATACCGGGTATTTAAAAGTATATCGCTGTCAGTTATTATCGCGGATTCTTTTATTCTTCGCATCTGCCGCAGGCTGCTTGATCGCATCTCGCACGATATCGGAGATATTCCATCTGTCGCGGATAATCATCGACGGTTTGTCGACTCGACGACCGTCCGCCTACGCTAATCACGTCCGACGGACGGGGCGCGGGTGTATGCGTTTGTTGTCGCGCATTCATTCTCCCCGACGTTCCTCCTCCGGGACGTTCGCAACGTACGCGCGATTTAGCGAATTAATCGTGCGTACGCGAATTCACAGATTTCCACGAGCGTAGCACGTCGCTTATATAGGCGTCGGCAGGCGGAAACGTCAGGCTGCGTTTCCGTCGAGAGGAAACAAAACGCGCGCGTGTTCGGCCGTAGACGACGTGTGCGAAATCCAATAAAAGTCTCTTCATCGCGCGGCACTGACCGCCGACGCCGGCGGTGGAACATGATTCTTCCCACATCGAGGACGTCCCGACGCGTGGCCGTCGCACGATCGAAAAAGTCGCGGAAAACGCACGACGCGATTGAGAGTATCGCGTAGCTTTTTTTGTCGCCGCCTAAAAATAAAGGTGCGTCCGTCACGTCGACCGAGGTTGTTCTCTCGCGACGACCTCGCGCGTGTGTCCGTGTCGTGACGTGACTCATTCGCGAGTCACGCGTCGAACGATTATTTTCCAAGTGTCATCGCGACGAACGAACGCACCGCTATGATCACGGACTGGGTAAGCAGGATAAATCCCACGCCATAATCCTCGGAGGCGGTTTCGCCGTTGCGAATACACGCTCGCGTAAAATCAATCGCTAACTCTGTTAAGGATATTCCAAAGTCGACGGCGAACTTGATAAACGTCCATAATATAGAGACGATTCTCAAAATGTTATCGTATATAAACATTCGTTCGATCACGCTACTCTTTTTGTATTTCTCGTACACAAAAACAGGCCATATTCAGATAAGTAATTACTTCACGATACTCCTTAGCAAATTTTTACTTGGATTGAGTGATATATTTACTTGATCTAGGTAAAATTTACTTAAAATAAAAACTTGCTGAGGAGTATTGGAATAATTATTTACTTGAGTCTAGTACTTTTTTCTGTCAATCACAAAAAGTTGCCGACGAGTTTCGCAACTTATCTCGTATTCGGCAGAAAAATATATATTCTGAGAATGGCTAAAAAAACAAATTCTCATATCGGACATGGAATGCGTTCGGAAACTTATGGAAAGAAAAAAAAAATGTTGCAATCATTTCGTGACTGACTACACGTATAGATTTACGTAAACGTAAATACGATATAAATGTGAATGCAATGAACGTGCGTTAATCTGTTTTACCATATCTAACGGAAAATTCAACCAAGAAAACATTTATATTTATAAACATTTTTCTGCAAACTTTTTGTATCTTTTTAGAAATTAAATTTTATTGATAATCTATAAAAATGTTCTTTTCCGATTAGAATATTGACACATTTGGTACGTACAAGTTAAGGATTTCTGTGTCAGATAAATATTTACACTAATTTACAGCTAGAGACATCAATTTTGAAATTTCCAATTGTTTTCTTCGTATATCAAGCAATGCTCTAATTTATTTTCGCGCATACCTTCATCGTGTAAAAGTATATATATATATATAATTTTGTGCAACCAATAAAACGTAAAGTTTGCAGAAAAAATCTGTTCTGTCGGTGATGTTTTCAAGTATGGCATCCCCTTAACGTGCAATCGAAAGCAATCCGTGCTTCGTTTGTTGACGAATCCAAGTTTATGCCGAGTGCTTTTCACGAGAAACTCTCTCGCGACCGGCCGCGTCGATTAAAAGCAATTTTCAGCAGTGACACGGGTTTCAGGTAGATGATTAATTACTATTAACCTGCAAGTTCCTTTGTCGGTCAAACCATCATCCTCAATTGCACACTTGAATTTTGCGTTGCATCAATAGAAATAAAAATTGGTAATTAGAACCCTCGTATGCGCGACATCATCACCGATGACAACATAAGTCTCATTGTCGCTGCCGCAGCCGATATTTTTCAATGATCAAGCTTTCAATCGTACAGTACCGAACAAGACAAACGTCAAAGTTCCGACGCGAAACAATCGGCGAGATAGTAGGTGTTTTCATCTTTCATCGATTATAATCATCGTGGATATAAACCGACGCGTTTATTGTGTTATGCATAAAGACGTTATTGAAAAACTGCTTCTAACAACGCCGGTCGGTGCGCACACGTGATCGTTGTTATTTGAGAATGTACCACCCATAAGTCAAATAATGAAAAAAATTACGAAGAACAAATTGATTTACATCGCATTTAAAAGTGACACTAAAAGTTTGACGATAATTCAGAGCCTGGATCAAAAGTTATTTCACTTGAAAGAAAGTTGTTAGGTGAAATATGTTTGATAAGAATCGACGAAACTTGTATTGCATATTGAATGTATATATTGAATGTGTCTTTAATTCCTTGATCCAACGTCCTGTGAACGATCCGAGAATTGCTAATGGCGATTATTAATTTCGCTCGCGCGCCGCTTCTCGTCACGTTCGCCTGCCTATTACGGTAATCCGTCGCCTAGCCGGGCCTCGGTTTCGTGGCGTAGCGTTCCTCGGCGGGGATTTATTCGAACATAGTCAAAGAACGTGGAGATGTGGTTTCACGTGTTTTCGAATATCACGTCTCGTCGGATACGTTGTCTGTCGTGTGAACGCGCGTTCAGCCACCTCGTGGTAAGCAGATCCGGATAATTGCTCCCGGCATCGACGTATAATTTCAATCATCGTCTCGGGGGGGGGGGGGGNCCCGCTTCCTAGGCATGTTGCCAACCGCGAGCGGACGAGCGCGCGATCGCGTCGCGAAAGTGCGACTTTGCGCGCGCATTATCGCACGAGGAGAATCGGTTCACAATGGAACCCCGATTATCGGAATGTAGTTTTTATCGGGGCGATCTCCCGAGCCAATTAAATTTGCATTAGATCGCGACCTCGCTGTGCTCCACGCCGTGGCCTCTTATTTGCAATGCGTTACTGCTGAACGAATCGCCGTCATTTTCGTAGATTCGAGGATCGCTTTGCTTCCTCGTCAGAAGTAATTCTATCGGTGATAAATCGAGATCGCGGTCTGATCGCGAGGATACTCAACGCTAAGCGAGCAAGTTGACTTCTGTCGCCTCCTGAGATGTATCACAAATTGTGATGCAACATTTGTTCGTCCAATTCTCGAATATGGGTCCGTTATTCGGTCTCCTTATAGGAATAATCACTGCGTACTGATTGAAAGAATTCAGCATCACCTTTTTCGTCTCGTCAGAGTAATCGACTGTGATTGGCCAATTTCTTAAGGCCCAAGGCTTGAAACATCTATTGTAGAATGCCCATTATGCGTATCCTCTTGTCTCTTGGATGTGTATTGGCGTTGCCAAGGATAAAGGGAGACGTTCTCAGTTTCTCCTCTCTTCCTCTTGGCAATTTTACTCTTTGCCTAAACATCCTACGTTCGTTCTTTTTATATACCATTCCCGTTTATAAATAAATAAATATTAAATTTGCTGTTGCAGCTGGACACATGGTTCGGCCGGCCGAAGAAATCCGGCCGCGGGGGTGGGATGCGCAACAACTCGGGCAGCAACACCATGCCTCGGCCCCATTCCGGCGACGATATCAACGAAATCGAGCAGCAGCGTTCCATCATCGAGAGGATGGACGAGGAGACGGTGAACGACAAGTTCGAGGAAATGCTGGTGGGCACTTGCTGACGAGTACGACTGATTCGTACTGATGAACGCGAGTTTAATCGTCGCCGTATCTCCGCAGGCCAACATGAACCTGACGGAGGAGAAGAAGGAGCCGTTGCGCCAGCAGTCGGACTCGAAGAAGAAGGAAATGCTGGTCCTGCATTACAAGGGTACCATACAGGATAACCGGTCGAAATTCGACAAGCCGGCCGACTACATCCAGTACTTGGCACAGCCCGACCTCAGCGTCAACAAGATCTACAGCTGCATCGAGTCCCTCAGGATCGCGCTTACCAACAACCCGCTCAGCTGGGTGCAGGAGTTCGGCACGAAGGGACTCAAGCAAGTCCTGGCCACGCTCAACGAGTGTTACCGAAAGTAAGTGGTGAGAGCTCCGGAGGAGCTCCGAGTGTCGAAGCGTTTAAGGTTGTGTACGCATTGGATCTAACGTTGATCTTGTTCTATTGCAGTGCCTTCATATATTACGATAGGTAATTCACGCAAAAATACTCTATTAGCTTGATGTGAACGTTTTGTTTAGCGACCGATCTCGATTACGTTCTTATTTTCTAACCGCTTGTACGGCAGAGCGAAGTCCTGCTAGTTACTTTGGCCTGGTAAACAAATTAGTTTCGCAATAAATTCCCGTTTTGTTTACGTTGTGACAGAACTTAATTGTTTCATTTAGCGCGCACGCTGCTCAGTTAACGAGATATTTGTAATTTTCACTTAAGGAGGTCGTAAGGTGAAGTGAGTAATAAGAATTCGATAACTCGTACTAACGTGTACGTTGAAATATTATGTAACTGCTCGTGCAATTAAAACGGATTAACCATTCGAGAACTGACAATTTTGCAACTAAAGTTGACACTTTTTACACGTATTTCTCGATATTAAAAACTAATATGCAAATATTATATGTAAATTTCATTATTGATCATTTCGTATTGACAATATAGTGGTATAAAGTTCATAATTTATAATATTTAATATATATATATATATAATAAGAAAAATAGAAAGTAATATTTTCGTTTTTGTAATATTATGCATCTATATGTTTATTTCAACTTTGTTTTAAATTGACTAAATTATTATTTAAATAGTAAAATGAAAACATAATTTTGTTTGACAAGTGCTAAATTTAGACGAGTAGCTCTCTTGGTGCGCCAATGACAACATGACACTGAGCTTTACAACCTCCTTAACACTTCATTACACCTTCAGAGTCCTTGCATGATGCGCATTTCTCTGCGTGCCGCTTACGAGACAATCTATCGCGAGGGTTTCGCGATTCTTTACTGACGTGAATCATTCGTTCTTCCTCAGCGACAATCGATACGAGCGAATACAGTACGAATGCATCCGCTGCTTAAAGGCCATTATGAATAACACCGTCGGCATCAAGGAGATGTTGGCCCATCACGAGGCTCTTACCATAGTGGCCAGATCGTTGGAGCCGACGAAACCATCCGTAATGTCCGAAGCCGTGAAGTTACTCGGCGCGGTGTGTCTCATCTCCAGTGACAGCCACAAGAAAGTCTTGGACGCGATCACTATGAACGGCGAGTTCAAAGGTCGCGAAAGATTCCTACCGATCGTGCAAGGACTGATGAACAAGAAGAATGAAAATCTAAGGGTACGTTTCGCCTTTTATCAATCGCACGACACGATTTCGCTACATATGAAATGTCGTTCGATGTTTGTCTTGTACAAAAAAAAAAGTCGGATATTCCGTCGCAGGTAGTGTGCCTTCAACTCATAAACTCGATAATATCGTCCGCCGAGGATCTGGATTTTCGCTTACACCTGAGGAACGAGGTGATGCGAGTCGGTCTAGCCAACATTCTCGAAACTCTGGAGAAAGACGAGTCGGAGGACCTGGCGACGCATTTGAAGATCTTCAACGATCACAAGGAGGAGGACTACGAGGAATTTGTACAGAGATTTGACAATGTGCGATTAGAACTAGACGATGTTAACGATTGCTTCGAAGTGGTGAAACATATTGTATTGGACACAGCCGCCGAGCCGTATTTCCTCTCCATCCTTCAGCACCTTTTATTTATCAGAGACGACGTTCTGGTTCGGTAAGCACGTATAAACCGCGCTTTTTCGCTGTCGCGGGCTTATCGAAGGAACACCAATACGCAGATATCTCATTCGATTGCCGCGGTTAACGATCCTGCTTTCAGACCGGCGTATTACAAACTGATCGAGGAGTGCATATCGCAAATAGTACTGCATCGTTCAGGCTGTGATCCGGATTTCAGCGCGACCAAGCGCTTTCAGATTGACGTGCAACCGTTAATCGATAACCTAGTCGAAAAGTCACGAGCCGAGGAAGAGCGACGGCTGGTGGAGATAACTCAAAAGCTGGAGGAAGCTATCGCCAGCAGGCAGGAAGCCGAGGCGAAGCTTCAGCATGCGGAGAACAAAATCAAGGAGTTGGAGCAAGGAACTGGAGGAGGAACGAGGCCGGCCGGTGGTCCCGTAAGTATGCGAGTGTTACATCGATCGTTTCTCTCATTCCTACTTTTATCTCCATAAGATGAACGCTCTAATCTAACCCTGTTCCGTTACAGAGAACCGCCATGGGTCCACCACCCCCGCCGCCGCTTCCTGGTATGGGTGGACCACCGCCTCCACCACCTCCCCCTCTTCCCGGGGCACCGCTCCCACCGCCGATGATGACATGTCCACCTCCACCACCTATGCCTGGATCGAGAGGTCCTCCGCCTCCACCCATGCCTGGCATGCCCGCGCCACCACCCATGCCGGGAATGGGACCTCCACCGCCACCGATGATGGGAGGACCTGTGTTCTCGCCAACCCCGCCGACACAACCCTTGCCTCCCGGGTTAAAACCGAAGAAAAAATGGGAAGTGGATAGTCGGCTGAAGAGGGCGAACTGGAAGGCGGTATGTGTGCGATATATATCTCTCGATCAGGTTTGTTGTCAGCAGACGACGCCATTTTCTACTACGTTGAGGTTTTACCGCTGTTTTAGATCTTGCCTCACAAACTGACGGAAAAGTCATTCTGGATGAAGGTGCAAGAAGACAGATTGGCTAGTCCAGAAATATTGGACGGTCTCGCGCAGAAGTTCGCGTCGAAGCCGAGCGGGAGGAAAATAGACGATGTAGTCGACAAGTAATGATTCATTGCTTGTTATTCTTTACGTCGTATATCGTGAGTTGCTAACGCTCGCTTCTTTCACGCAGGTCAGCTTCAACGAAGAAGGTGAAAGATCTCAAGGTTTTGGACAGCAAAGCGGCACAAAATATATTGATACTCCTCGGTGGGACACTGAAGCATATGCCTTACGCGGATGTGAAGACGTGCCTACTCAGATGCGAGGGACCGGTGATCTCGGACAATATATTGCAAGGATTAATTCAGTATTTACCACCGCCGGATCAGTTGTCGAAGTTACAGCTCTACCAGGATCAGTACGACGACTTGACCGAGGCGGAACAATTCTGTGTCACGGTATAATATTCATTCTCGTTCGTGTCTCAGATTAATAATCGTATCGAGCGTGAGATGTACAAGTGTTGATATTACAGATATCTACGATAAAGAGGTTAATGCCGAGATTGAGGTCTTTGAGCTTCATGTTGCGTTACGAGGAGCTGATTCAAGATGTGAAACCCGACATAGTAGCGGCTACAGCAGCGTGCGAAGAGGTGAAGAGTAGCAAAAAGTTCGCGCGAATCCTCGAGTTGATTTTGTTACTCGGGAATTACATGAATTCCGGCTCGAAAAATGGACAGGCGTTTGGATTCGAAATTAACTTCCTCACGAAGGTATGCACGGTAAAAATCGCCGATATTGTCATCGTCATACACCGTTGCATGATACGACGGTCTTTTTCCAGCTTACCGGCACTAAAGACGTCGACAACAAGCAAACCCTCATGCACTATTTGGTGAATACGATAGAGAGGAAGTTCCCGGAGTGTCTCAGCTTCGTCGAGGAACTGGCCCATGTGGATCGTGCCAGTCGAGTGTCTTTGGACAACGTCCAACGAACGCTGCGTCAAATGGAGACCAACATCCGCAATCTCGAGCAAGACCTCGCGAACGCCAAGGTTCCGCAATGCGACGACGACTTATTTATAGACGTGATGAAAGTATCCTTTGCAAATCGTAGGCGCAGCGAGTCGATCGGATGAAAAGATATTTTCTTGACCAGATTCGTTTTACAGCCATTCGCGAAGAAAGCCAGAGAGTCTTACGAGGTCTTGCAGAATATGTTCAAGAATATGGACGGCCTGTACACGGAGATCTCCGAATTCTATTCCTTCGACAAACAGAAGTATACCATAGAGGAGTTCTTCGGCGATATCAAAACGTTCAAGGATGACTTCACGGTAAATATTGTGGCTACGGATTGTAACACGGTGGCTTTGTCGTCAAATATAACAAAGCAATTGTGTTCTCACCGCAGCAATCACAGAAGGAGATAATAAAGCTGAAGGAGGGTGAGGAGAAGCAGAGACGGGCGAGGGAGGCACGCGAGAAAGCAGAAGCGGAAAAGGCGGCGCGAGCCGCTCGCAAGAGAGCGCTAGTCGACATGAATGCACATGAAACGCAGGAAGGTGTCATGGACAGTCTGATGGAGGCCCTGCAAACCGGATCCGCCTTCAGTCGGCCGGACCAACGACGCAAGCGACCGACGCGCGTAGCTGGTGGTAAGTTCTATAAGGCCACGTACATCTGGAGGCAAAGGAAGGAGCAAGCTCAGCGATGCGTATTTGATAGTAATTTGTGGGAATCCGCTAAATCGAAGCACGGATCTGTAAACGTAACACCTCTCGGGATAGCACGTCGCGACATATATCCGAGGATTGCGCAAGTACGCGCAGCCGACGACTCGATGAGTGACTGTTTCACACCGGAGGAGAATCAAGAACTCTACAAGCAAATGCTGATAGATGAGGCTAAGAAGGCGCCCAAATTAACGAAGCACATGTCCAGAATCACATATTTTCAGAGAAAGAGACAATGCAATAACTGTAATCGCGCGTATTTCACGACATTACCGTTAAACGATGACGAGACGCCGAAGAGGAACGTTTTACTTCTCGACGAAGCACGCGTGCTCAGTCCGGTTAAACAGAGGCGCGTTGTCATCAGTAAGATACGCAAACGAAACAGCATAGTGCGCCGCGCCATATCGAATCGCAGGCGTACGCGAGCGAACGTGAAGCGCCGCAAATCGCACGTCCGGCTGCAAAGTCCGTCCAGTATGAGCAGTAGCATGCCTCCGGTCGCGAATTGCTCAGCCTCAAACGTGAATATCTTTAGTGCGAGGATGTCAAAGTCAGTCGATAATATTTTCACTAAGCTAAACAAACGAGCGTCCACTCCGATCAAACTCTTAAGATCGAGGAACTATGAGAATTTAACGTGGTTCAAGGACGAAAACTTAAACGTACAATACAAGAAGCATAAATCCTTAAACTCCACCGCGTCGATTGAGATGAGTGGAGTCGCGTTATTGTCGGAAAGCAGCCAGGCATCGTTATTTGGAGTGAAGTCGAGTGATTCCGTTATCGCCACGGAAAATATGAACACGTCGTTCGAGGAAGTGTCTGAGGAATTTACGAGCGCACATGAGCCGTCTCTTTTAGAGGCGAGCATTTTAAGTAAAAGAAGCAATTATAATCAATTCAAAGCGTCAAAGCGTAAGTCGCGCAAAAAGAACTGGAAGTTTTGGCGGAGGCCTAAAAGTATCGGAATCTAATTGCGCGCGTCATTAAATAAGTACAAGACTGATATTGAAAATGCAAAGACTTAACCCCGAAGCCCAATTATACATTTTCCACACCGCGGCAGACTGAAATATCATAATTCCTGAATTTTCATCACTCAATGATTTTCCTGCTTAATTCTTAAATTAACTGCTCAATGACTCTTAATTTCGTTACATCTGTGTGCGATATTGCGAACAATTAAAGACTTTAAGACTGAAAACCGTCATGCAATACCTGATTATCTGTGATTTTGTAATGTGATATTCACGTAGGGTTTTACTCATATACATTGATGTTTCAATCAAGTATGTATATTTAACGAAAAGATCTATTTTTTTTAATGTTATATGTTCCTGATACGTGCAAATATATTCTACTTAGCACGCATAACTGCAGAAATCATGAGAGCAATAATAAGATAGAGATAAAATCAAAATGTTTCTGTTAAGCCATTTCGATCATTTTACATATGTAGACTATAAAATTCAACGAGTTTTAAGTGAATATGCAATATATTTTGCGACAACTTTCATTAATGGTGATACGTTATATACTACGATGTTAAAAAAACAAACTTTCTAATTTTCTTTTTTCAATACAACGTTGTTTCGTGGAATGCAGAATGGTCATGAAGAAGTCGTATCTCCGTTTTAGTTCCAAGTTTCAAATGTAACCTAAAGCAATAACAAAATTTCGTTTCGAATGTATTACTGTTTTTGTATTTCAAAAAAAAATATATATATAATCTGCAATTAAATATATACGAGTTACTCTCTGTTGCTTTCCTTGATGCATTCAGTGTTGTGTGTCGTACCATTTTGCATATGACTCCACGTTCCTTCGGGATAAAATGGCATTGATACGCGAAAACAAAATGCAAATTTTGGCGGTTTTGTAGTAAATTATGTAAGATCGAACGCGGCTCCTCAACACTCTCCCGTAAAGCGGACATTCGCATTTCGAAATGCTCTAAAATCTCGTTCCGTTAGCACACACGAACAATCCGCAATCCTAGAGCGATATCGAGTAACGAGCTCAATCCTGTTTTAATTTTACAGCGGAAAGGAGAGCGCAACTAAATAGGAGTCGATCGCGTACTGGATTAGTCGGATCTGGTTTACTAGGGAGAGAACTTTCGACGTAAGTATACCCATGTTAAAACGCGAGGAATGCTCGCTGGTCGAATGTACTCGTTTGAATCGCATGCTTCTCTTACATGTATATTACATGCACCATAAGAAATAATATTTCCTCACATTTCCGGAGAGCGGATAGAGTTCGTTCGTTGCCAATTTAACTTTTTTCTACAGTTTCTTATACGCGCGCGTTATTGTTGTTCGCATTACCAGCTGGCACATAATGATCGGATGGCGAGCGTGTAATTTTGATCTTATTAATTACACCCACGAGTTCCCTCCCACTCGCCGTGTGAGCGATATCGCGTTCATTTGCTGAAAGTAGATTACGATCCCCGGTTTTGACGAGATAATAACAAATAATTGCTCGCCACTGAGTAATTGGTTCTTGAAGACGCAAATGCTATAATTGACCGCTACTTTGTGTGCTTCCTGTCCAACCGTCGTTTGCGTGCTTCTTACTTGCGCACTCAAACAAACGTAGCGAACACAGCAAACGCGCGCCGTACCTCTCGCCTCACCTCAGCCCCATTGTTGTTGTTGCAGAGAGCTTTTAAGTTCGGCATAACCTACCGGAATGTGTCCCGTTTCCGTCCTAAACTCGTTGCTGTGATGATCTTGCACCTCGTGTATATCGTTGGAACGGCAGTGAATGGGGGAGAACATCATGCGGCACGATAAATAATCGATATTCAGGGGAGAAGGAGGAGAAACGTGCGAGAAACGTCACGGCCGGTAATCGCCGGTCGGCACACGCACGTCGAATCGAGGACGTTCTATTGCGATTTCACGTTAAGTTCGAACCAAGTAACAGAGTCTTCCTTTTACGTATTTCAAACGGATTGTACGTATTGTGTATTCTACTGTACAAATATATAATTCACGCGACTGTGTATAAATGAAGCTGTACCTTTTGCGCCGGTCGGTCGGCGAAGGAGCGCGCCGTTCACGAGTCTAGTACAAAAGAGAGTGTTCGCCGCCGGCGAGCCGTACTTGTAAATACGCGTGTAAGGCAAACACACCGCGGCGATTCATCACTCGCGGCGCGACGCGCGCCCTCGTCGTTCTAGCATTTTTACTGCCGTCTCTACGAGTCGAACGATAGACTTGCATTTATTTATATACGTTGCTGTAAATATACCATCTCGCGAGTATTGCACACGTACGTGGGTGTACGCGAACGATGCTGCGACTCGTAATTATGAAATTATCGCGACATTCTCGCGAGAGATCGTTTACTTCGGGAAAGCGCGAGCGATCATTTCGCGTGCGAAAAGAACGCGCGGTGAGACCAGAGACCTTTATTTTTTAAAGGGCGAAGAGGAGGCTCGTGTATAATTATCGCTTGTCCCAAGATTACGAAACGAAAATGATAGTGATAATTTATCGTAATGACCCCCTCCCCCTCGCGATCCCGATGGAACAACCGCGAAACGTGCGTAACCGTTTACGTCAGCCGCGGCTCATAATTCTCGAACAACATTCCTCGATTATCTCGAGGAATGTCCGAGACACTTAGTGACTTCGTACATCGAATTTGACGCTCACCACACACCGGCAGTGGTGATATAAACGCTATCTCGTCCATTAGCATTACGTGTCCTCTCAGGCAGGCGCCTCTGATTGGAAGTTTTTCCACACGGAAGTATCTCCGTTTGCGCGCGACGTAGTTTTGTGTAAGCGTTAACGGCCGAAAAAGGACTGAGAAATTACCTTTAAGGGAAACGACGTATCCGGCGACGCGCAACGCACGCATTTTGTGATAATGAGCGAGCCTTCGGCGGCAGGTTCAAGTGGCGTTTCAAGTAATATCACGGTACACTTTCAACGGCGAGGAGACGGTGAAAGAAACTCGGGGAGGAGAGGAAAGAGGGAAGGAGAGAGAGAGAGAGAGAGGGGGGGAAATCTCCGAAAATGAGTACGGCGGCGTGAATCCGAACACGATAATAGATATCGCGCAATATTCGCGTAATTCCTCCGCGGTTTCGTGCGAATAAACGGAAATGACACGAACGTGTGAGTCGCCAAGTGACGACCGAAGATCGCGTCCGATTTCCCAACTCTTTTTACACTGTCGGATTCGCAATGCTGACGAAACGCCAATTAACGTTTCACGGTGTCGATGTCTGTTCGAGCGAATTTATTGCGAGTAGATATAATGTTCGAAAACAAATTCACGTTATGCGAGATAAGTGATAAAACCTGTTGAGCACAACGTCCTTCATCATCGTCGTCATCGTCGTAGAGGAACGACGGATAATAAAATAGTCGCGCTTGGAAAATTGCGTTATACGAGCGGCAGAGAGAGAAAGAGAGAGAGAGAGAGAGAGGGACGACATCGCGTCGCTCGCAGTTAGCACGCGCGGTGGGGTCCGGGTATGCCAGGCACGTTCGAAATGTCTAGCGAAAGGCGACGTAACGAGCCGGTTCTTGTAGCCGCAAAAAATCGCGGAAGTATCCACGACGCCGTCGCGTTCCGCCGCCGGCCGATTTTCGGACGTCTTTAGGGTCTTTTAGTCATTCCGTTGCGCGCGCGCTCGCTCGCTCGGGCGCGCGCTCGCATTTTTGTACATTATCGAAACGCCGCCGGCCGTTTTACACGGCCACCGTGGACGCACACGTGTATATTCTATGGCACGGCTTTTGTATGTATCGAGCGATTTTATCGAATGAGAGAGTGAGATAAGTTGTGTGAATGTGTGTATGTGTGAGAGAGCCTGCGTCACAACCGCTCATTTTCCCGAAGTAATTATTATACGTGCCCGCGAGGCACAGCGGAAACTTAAGTCATTTGCCTATCAACTGAATCTCGTAGTAAACGAACATTTGTTAATATTGTAGTTAGGACTACACTGTACAAGTATTGATTGTATCTATATTGTGAATACGTAAATATTAAATATTAGCGCATTATTATTATTATTATTATTATCTACTGTGTGTGTTTATCTGCCATTTTTTAATATCCCCCAACATTGTCTCGTCGTGAAGTGAATCACAGGCTCAAAACATTCGATAAAGATATACTTTGTCGACGTGAATCTCTTCTATCTCTTCTATATTGCATGCGTATCGAAAGATTAGAATTATCTCTGGGAAATTTTTCATAACATTCGCTAAATATACCTCAAACACGTGCGTGTCAGAGATTACAGTCGGGTTTCGCGCGAGCTCGCCTGATTGTTCACGAGAGACAATCCGTGTGTCCGCGTATAATCAAAAAACCACGCACAGTTAAAAAGATGCGATTGTACGCAGCTGCGCGAATGACCCGCAGAATATAAATTGAATGATGTAACGAGCGAGAACGCGAGAAAATCGAATCTGATCGTCTCGTCGAACGGGTAATCCTCGGTTCCGCGATCCGTCGATAGTCCATCACGGCGTCGAACGCGTTAATGCCGTGAATACCGAGAGAAATCGAGAGAGCGAAACCGGCGGTCGCGCGTTACCACGACACGCAGTCACGCGTAGATTACACGTGATATCGATCGATCAGGTTGGAGAAACATACCTCTCGATCGGCCGGCCGCTTCGCGTCGAGGAGCTACTCCCGTTCCGGACATTTTTCTTCGCGTTCACGAGGACGTGTTTCACATCACGATCTCGTTTCCCTCGTCCGCTTGCAAAATCCTGCCACGGTGCACCTGGCGCAAAAGCGTTTCATAGCGTGTGTAAAATCGATTGTACTCGTCGAACCCCGAAAAATTTAAACGCAAATGAGACGGTAATTTTGCAAACTTAAGCCGGACACGGACTTTTTGCGTATTCTCGTAACGTCAACATATCGTAAAATGGTATGAATAAATAATCAATTCACCCCTCCGCTTCTAGCTTTTTCATATCCAACAATGTCAGGTGGGTCACGGATGTTTGTCGTTCTAAAAAGTGAGTCGCGGCTTACACAAGCTTGGGAGATTCTGCTCTATAATCAAACACACGCTATTCAATCGAGAAGTAATTAGAGAACCTCGACTGCGACGCGCTCTTTTTTTTTACTGGACGCCATCTTGTCGCAAGAAACAAGATTGATACCTCGATCTGCAGCACCGAGTGTCATAAATATCGCACTTAACGACCGTGATGATGCGATTCTGCGTTAACGCATAATTTCCGTCACCCGGACGTAATAGTCGTATAATAATTACACAAATATACACCTGTCGTCAAGCGGAGGAAACTCGGCGATTACTCGATAATTTCTCGCCTCCATCGAGAATCAAGGCGAGGTGAGACGAGAATTCGAACGATGACGCGGCCGATTCAATCCGCGAAACGAGCGAGCTTGGTCGGTCCGTTACCAGCGACGCGTCCAATAATAGTCCCTAGCGCCGTTTCCGCGCGCTCGCGCGACGGATTTCCGCGTGTCGCGCCGTTTTCCCGCCGCGAAGCTGCGGGACGAAGTTGCGCAAGGGGGGAACCGGGAGAGCATAAATGCATATACTTAACGACTTTCGAACGCGCCCTTTCACCGAATTCGAACGCGTTCGTAAGCGGTCGTCTCGCAGTCGAATGCCTGCGCCGTGACGCGCGTTCGCGCCTCCGTTTCAGATACACGCACAACCTGTACCAAACTGCGGATTAGGATCAAAATTGGATTGGATTTTGACCAATCAGAGCGAAGTTCACTAACTTGAGTTTAGTAAACTTTGCTCCGATTGATCGAATTTCGTTCCAATTTCAATCCTAATTCGTAGTCTGCCACGGGTTTAAGATTAGTCACAAAAAGTTTGCGACACTTTTTTCCATGAGTTTTTCGTGTTTCGTATCAAACAGAAAAATATGTCTCCTGAGAAGTGCCAAGAAACAAATTTTCCTATTGGCCACGGGATGCGATCCTAAATTTATGAAAAATATGGTATTAGAACCGTTTAGTGACTGACCATATCTTGCCGTATCGGTGAACTCCCGCACGTTCCATCGATTCTCCACGTACGACGAAAAAGGAGAGGCTGGCTCGACCTTTCCCGACGATCGTCCTCGCGCTGATCGTCCGACGGTCCCCTAGCGACTACGCCATTGCGATCGCGGGGTGCCGGCGGCACAGCACGCCGTGATATACGGTGCCGTCGCTGAACTTCCCGGAGGGAGCGTCTCGTGACGTAAAACGATTCTCTTTTGCATACGGTTGGTCATCGTTGGAGCTGTTCGACTCGCGTACTACGGCGAGAGTTTTTGCCTTGTGTATCTGTCGCATGTTTGTAAAGCACGACTCGTTTCGTTGAAGAGCTAGGCTTTTTATACATCGTCTCCGGCGTAAAACGTTTGTAAACACGTTGAGCCTCGGAAACGCGGAATTTACAAGTATCTTATCAGGTACCATGGATTTATTTCGCGCTATTGTCGTCTTTTTTTCTCGCGTACACTCTCGACTTGTTTTCATTCCGGAGCGTGATAGAAAGTTGTCACACCCGCTCGATCAACCATCAGCTGAACAGCGGACGCTCCGGATGCTCGCGTCTACTAAATGTACAGCGTGAACGCCGAAGGAATTTTCCAAACGTGCGAGTATTCTGCAATGTGAACGTCGGCAATAGTCGGACGTACATAGACACCGTACACGTCGTAGCATGAAAATCGCAACACACGCGAGAAAGCGTCTCCGTGCGGAATACGAACGGCCGATTTGAATGCAAGCGGCAGTTAGCCGATTCTACGACAGGTAACCAACCGACACGCGATCGGACCCTCGGCCGTCATTTAACACGGCGTACTGTGCCTAGGGAGGCGTGTGCGTATGTGTATGCGCGCAGTACCTTCGCGCGCCGCGGCCGGCCGAGTGCGCGACAGTCCAATACGAGCGTTCGCGCAGTGCGCGCACCAGCAGTTCGTCGTGGAATACGACGCGTCCGTTCGAGCACAATCGACGATGATCGACGTCGGCCCACGAAGTCCCCGCGTCTCTCGTCCGCCGCAGTCCCTATCGTCGCACGAATCGGCCCCAGACGCGCGTCGTAAACGAACGTATATACACATACACACACGCGCCAGTGCGGGTTTGTAATTCCGCCGGCGGTGTTCTTCGGGTCGCCGTCGTGCTCTCGATCGACTCGCGTTCGGACGATTTAACGCCGCGCTCCGCCGCCGATCGACGAAACCGAGAGTCCGGAGTGCGGTCGCTTTCGGAGGCAACGTCGTGCGGACAACGCGAGAAAGAGCGAACGGGAGAGACGATTCGGATTCCGCGCGCGCGATCAATTGTCGTCTGCGCACAGTGCGTCGTCCCGACGGTTATCAGACGCTGTTATTTGAACTCGCGCGTACCGTTCTCGTGCGAAGTCACATCGTGCCTCGACGATGCTCGACGGGCGCGACGAATCCAGTGCCTTGGCGGTTCGATGGTGAGATCGGCGATCGATTCGACCCGAATGGCGACGTAATGCGACGGCTACAATGAACGTTCCGATCGTCGCAGGGGACATTGTCGACGACGGCGGCGGCTTCCAACCTCGATTCATTCGGGTAAGTGCCACCTCGTACGTCTGTAATTTAATACCGCCGAAATTTCACGGTCTCGTAATTTTGAATCAGCAATTTTATCGCGCGCGCACGCACGCGCTCGCTCGTCAAGGACGGCCATTAATGTTTCGTCCGTACGGGCCGCTCCGCGGAATTCCCTCGGAATTCCGGGTGTGACGATCGCGCGTCGATGGTTTCCATCGAATCATCATTCGTCGGACGGTCGCCGTGGAAAATCGCGCAGCTCAGTACTTTCACTTTCGCTTCTATCTAGCGGGAGCATTCAGGGTCGCATTCGCCGTTAAACGTTGTCGTCGTCTGTTCCCGAACTTCGGATTTAACTCTTCGACCTTACGCGAATTTCGCCCGTTGTCGCGTGTCGTGGCGTTTTCAGCCCCGAATACTTGCCTGACCCCGCGTGATCACTCGTGACACGGTGAGCGCGGCAGGAAGCGCGCTTAATCGAGACCCCTGAGACGAGTGAACGAAATACACCTAGCCACGTCCGAGACAACGATGAGGAAGGGAGCGAGACGAGTTAAAAGTCGATATTTATTTATACGACGCTCACATCATACATAATGAGCATAAGGTAACGAGGCAGATGCGATATCACTATGTAAAGAAACGCGTGACACATTAAACACATGCGTGCGTGTCGCAAGTTGAAATTCGTGGGGCGACACGATCAGGGACGATATATCGCGCGATGAATTCACGTATCTCGCGAGATCCTTGGGGAAATAACGCGCGTTACGACCGATCGATAGCCAGCGAAAGCCGTCTCAATCAAGCGGAACATTCTCGCGGAAATGTTTATACCTGTCCCTTCGCGTAAGCGTGAAGGAATTTGATAAAAAAAAAACAGGCGACACCGGAATTCTTTTTCCTCGTTATTACGCCTTATCGGAGGCGAGATACGGTGTCCTATACGGTGAACAACAAAGATACCGAGCGCGTTGAAATGCCGTTGTTCTAGGAGGGTTCCGTGAGGGTGACGATGCGCCGCTGCGCTATCTCTATTATCGTGGAATAAATAAGAGATAACGACACCTGTTGTATTCGGAACGACTTTTCCTCCTCAGCACGAGACACAAACGCCATATTAGTCGTGTGTGCTCATTAACGTCGCATTAGGACCGATAACGATGAATCATACCTTTGGTCGATGTTACCCTCTGGTTATTATTATTATACATATAGAAACGTAATATTATATATGCATAGAAACGTCTCCGTGCGATAAAGTTCGTCAGTCAAAAATTTCGAGTTTGCAGATTACGCGAAAAAAAATATCAAACTCGAAAGTGGAATTTAATTCGAAGCCTGTTTCGTTGCGCACCTAACTAGTGACCTTTAAATTTAATATATGCGCGAGAGCTTTGCGTTAGTTTTCACTTGATGTTTAGACGAAGTAAATGAACAGTGAATTTTGATATCGCGATAACGAGATTGTAACGCGTCTGCATGCT